TGGCATACCTACGGCCTTTCCCTTGCTTCGGCACTGTGGCAGGATGCCGTCCAATATTGTAGCCCCGTGTTTTGCGACGATTGCAGAAGCAGCCTTGTCGTTGAGCCTCAAATGTCAAACAGAAATGATGGGAGATGCATATCGTCCGCGTCCCCCGGCCCCCTTTCTGCAATCTCACAACGGTGAGGCACAGCCAGATCGGTGCGGCAACTGGAAACTCCCGCAAGCGTTTGCTGTCCACAAACGGCCGATTCGCCGAGATCGTCGACTTAGTGGGCGCGAAGCTGCGCCGCCCGATCATAGCAAACGATGAACGCAAACCGAGCGCAGACAAGAACCCTCCGCGGGGGATAAGCCTGGATCTCCTCATCTCGCTTGCGGGGAAGCACAACCCTGACTTCCTGCCTGAAAATCGTACGAGCATCGAAAACACAAATGACTAGACGGCGATGTCGAGCTATGATGCTCGCAAGCTGCATTGCAGATGACAGCACATCCAGCAGACTGGTAGCGATCTCTCGGCGCTCAGACACGCTGTCACACCAATCGATACGAAATTCCGACCAACGACGCCGGCACGCGCATGTCCACGACTCCCGGCAGGATGCTTCTTGCAGGACAAATCTTACCGAGCTATACAAAGCGTTCCTTGTGGATAAAAAAATGCAGCGAAACGAAGCCGAGAGGTACGGAGACCAACACGAAAACCCTGCAGTCCAACAATCCAACTCAGGCAAGAGCAAATATGCGACAGCGGTCACACCCGGATCGACTCCGTCTTTGCAATTTGAGAAATGGCATCCTCCATCCCCCATCCTGCATATGCCCGTTGCCACAACGTGTGATGAACTGTGCCTTCTCGTGGCCATTGATTACGCGCCAGCCGCCCGCCGATCGGCATCACACCAGTGTTATCAGCAACCGCCATGCATTTAGCCCTATTTAGGCCGGTGGGATGAGACAAAAAGATGGATATTTGCATAATTCGAGCGGGATAGGTGAACGCATATTGGCCTGTCTAGGCAGGAGACATGCGAAACAGGAAAGTGACAAGTCGATTAGACTTGCTAACACTGGTCTCGAATGGCGGTAAATTTACCCTCTCAACGGTTCAGCCGTTCGCGCTTAGACGCCGCGACCTGCGACGGCCCACGGCAGACAGGCCTCAGCAAGCAAGAAGGATGCCGGCATCCGAATCTCCCATGCCTGTAGGCTGTCTGCTCCCGTGCTGGATTGTCACTGTGACCGGTCCATGTGGGTAAAGATCAATTGTGCATGGTACTCGCACTTTTCCTACTGATTGGCTCGGAGGGCGAGACGATGTGCCCTTGGCGCCTTTCGGAGTGTATTCAATCAGGGCCGAAAAAAAGAGGGGAGATGGGTCGAGAAGACTTCGTAGGATCATGAGGATGTGAAGGTAAGCTTCTGTGCCTCACGGGTGAGGCTGCTTTCTGGAAGCAGGTAAGACGCATCAGCTCTCCGCAGTGGCTGACGCAAAGTGCGACAATCCTCGAGACACTACGCCGCCGATTATCGTTACGAGCTTTACCGCACATGTCTTCAGCCCGTAACATCAGGTCAATCACTGAGGTCGTTCTTCGCGCTCCCCGAACGCCCGTGCGCCGGAAGCGCGCTTTCAGACCCCACGCCATTTGACATCAAACGTTGGGTCCCAGTATCACACCATATGACGCTTGATACTGAGGAAAACATGCTAGATACAGAAAAGTAGGTACTGCGACGCTGCCCAAGTCGACCATCAGCCACCATCGACGAGACATCAGCCGCTGGTTGGGCCACCGGCAGTATACAGTCGGTCGCCACCACAGTCAGGGTGATCCTTTGGTCTCAGCCGTATATGTGCGACCCAACGACGTGGTAAATAGGCCAAGGTGAGCCCATGGTTGATACTCCCACTGTATGTACAAAGCGAGTCAGTAAGCCACCATCCGCGTCGCGAGTCTGTGTCGGCGCAAAACTAAGGTGACTAGCGGACGGCTGGTAGTGCCATGACGTGAAGCTCGTCTCTTATTCCCTGATCAAGCTCTCAGACAGCATCGAAGAGCTCGCCCATGTGTATAGGACTTTGGGAGGAGCTAAGGAGTAGGCAGGTAGTAGCTTGATTCGCTTCTTCTTCCCCAAAAGACATAGATTGTGCGGTGAAACCACATAACCACCTACGTATCTCGTTCCTTGTACATGGGGTTTCCTAGCTTTACGCAGGAGCCTGCTTCTGGTACGATGTGCTTCTGTCATGCAGACAAGAGCCTTGGAAGTATCCAGCTGGTTAGACTACTGCACTGACTGCATAGCAAGATTAGAATGTAACACGCGAGTTCGTGACAAGCGAAAGGCCAGAGTGACCGAGACCAGCCATCACTGCGAGAGCATGCTTCACCGCCTGAATCTCAATCTTTGATGACGGTGAGGTAGCTTTTCGAACGACCAGGGCCTGCACAGTGGCGGCCCGGTACAAGCGAGACGTCTTGCGGCTTCCAATCACAACACCCCAGGCTCCTTGCAGCTGTACAGTGAAGGACCATTCCGTGATGATACACTATATCTTTCATGCATACCGTGTTACACCACAGTCTAGACACGATTATAGCATGCCTTGCAGATACCAATAGATGTTTCGTTGGTCATGGAAACCTTGACTTCAGGTACTGGCAGGCATATCTCATGGCCAAGTGACTCTACCTCATCACATACACCTCCGCTTGGTATTGGGCAGAAGCTGAGTTATTGCCAGGCAGCAGGAGTCAGTGACGATGCTCACCGGAATATCTTGAGGCATTTGCGAAACTTCTGCTAGCGGCTGGGATCCTAAGGCCAGAATATCGTCTGGGAGACGCCTGCCCACCCAAACTTTACTTCGATGGAGGGCGCATGAGTTCAGGCATCGATATTGTTAGGAGCGCTCGTCTTGCTTCGCCTGCATTCATCGTTGGTATCTTGAAGTGGCCCCGGGGGTGTGGACATCTAAGCCCCAGCACTGACGCTCGATGGGTTTCGCTCATCGCATGAACAATTAGAAAGAGTTCGATATGGAACTGTCATGATGGTATTGACGTCTGTCGTTCTAAATATAATACATATTCATCTACATATCGTACCTGCGCAAGCACCGAGATGCAGTGTTGAGGCGGTGCAGCACTGCCCTGCCTGTGCCGCATGCACGTCAACTACTACGCCGTATTATACTGCCGTGTTAATCGTCATTCGTGAATTGTTCGTCCTCTCTTCTTCACCTATCGCTTCTGCCAGTCGCCAATCTTTTGTTGGGTGCTCAGATGAAGTCTCCATCACCAAAGCCACCGAATGGATTTGGCGGTCGTCCACCTGCTCCGCCAAAGCCACCAGGCCCTCCAAAGCCGCCCCCGCCTGGGAACATGGGACCTCGTCCTCTGTCCTCTCTCAGTGGATCGCCTGGTCCTAGAGGGTCATAACGCGCACCCGGAGGCGCTCTGGGATCATATCCACCCTGTCCGCCCTGACCGCGGAACAACGGATCATCGAAGGTGGGATGCATCCCGCCGCCGCCAAAACCGCCAGGTCGTGGCATTCCTCCTGCTAGGTGTGGTCGGAGGGGGTCATTGGGTCCGAGACCTTGCGGATATAGGTCGTCGTGACCGATATTGATGGGGTTGTTACCGGGCATGCGACCGGGCTGTCTGTTCATGCCCAACTCGTCGTCAAAGCCGGGTATGGGTTCTGGTAGGTGCCGCCCCGAGCCTGGCTGTGCGGCGAGAGGATCGTTGAAAGGGTATGGTCGTGCGGGCTCTGGTTCAGTGGGTGGCTGCCGTGGGTTTGCAGGTCCCCCTCGTTGTGGTTCTTGCCGATCCGCTGTAGGGGTGCGCTCGCGGTCGGTGTTGCCCCCCTCGTAGCCTGGCTTGTTCAGCCCGGGTGCCAGCTTCTGGATGACAGATATCTTGAGGAGCGAGCCGAGGTCGTTCAGCCTGCCTGGTGAGATGAACAGCTCTTGCACCTTCTCCGACACCTGCTCCGTTGATGTGTCTTCAGACACACTGAATGGTAATTGTGATTCGGATATGTAGTCCTTGGTCGTGACTTCGAAATGTGTGGTCTTGTCATCGCCGAGCGCGAGAGCGTATACGACAGCTTTGCCTCCCAACCTATTGACCTTGACGAGGTACTCCATGGCTGATTGCGCGTGGGCGTATCTGAAAGCGTATGAGGATGACGCATTCCATTCTTTCGGTAGCGACTCTGGGTTTTCGGCGTCTGCGTGCGCTTCTATAAGTTCCCGAGTTATGACGTGTAGAGGTGAGGGTGAATGAGATGGGTGCTTACCTATGCGCTCGTCTTCGCCCAGCCCGATCAGGCGGAAGCCAACAGCAAGCATGCCGGCGTGTACTGCTAGTGCGACGGCTTCGGTGCCATTCTTGAGCTGTGAGGATTCGCCTTTTGGTAGCGACGTTGCCATGAACAGCGCGAGCGAACCCGAGCTTAGCGGGTTGCCCGTTGTATTCTGGTGTACCATCTTTACGGATTCCCGGTGCGTTGTGGTCGTTGAAGTTTCGCCGAGTAGATGAGGGGATTTATGGACGTGGTTACAGCTCGTGTGTGTTTTATAGAAGCGTAGTGGTGTTGAAGAAGTTCCAAGGTTGATGGAAATAAATGTACTATGGTTGCAGTTCAGGCAGCGGCCAATGACGCGTGGGCGGGGCACGGGAGCGCGCTAGAGCAATGCACGATATCTGTTCATGCACGATGCAAGCGCCAGATTCGATAAACTCTCTACTGTACTACTTGCATGACATCACTGTTGAAATCAAAGTTTCCGCAAAAAGCAAGTAATATTGCCGAGCCATGGGATGCTCAGTATGCACCTATGCGTAAATCAAGACTATCGTGCTACTCCAAAGGCATGTGCGCCAACCCGTGGGGAATAATGTGGGACCAAATACGCCAGAGGCAATGCAAGAAGAAGAATAAGAGGCTTAAAGGAAAGTGCATCGGGCCATGTGGTGGGATATCTATTCCGGCAAATCCTGTGAGTTGCTTGCTGCGAGTTCGTTCGGTTCAAGAAGGCTGCAGTCAACGTTAGCAGGTATCAAAAGGCAGTACACGGACGGACAACATACGAGTACTGTTTGTACAGTGTACCCTCGCCTCCCTTCTCCAAGTCCACGTTGAACACATAGTAGTTGCCTTCACTGGTAACTACCATAATCTGAGGACCGTTGTTGTTCAGCGCTACCACATTCCTAACAGGTCCCGTGGAAGAGCTTGTCGGAGAGCGTGGTATCTTGACCCACGCAAAGTCGCGCGAGGGCTCCCAGATCTCTGCTACAGCGCTGGGTAAATATCCGCCGACGGTAGCGGCGAAGGACTTTCCAACGGTCTGCGATGTGCGTCGAATCAAACTTCCAAAAGTGGGATTGATGGGTTTCCGCTCCGGAGTCGATACATCTGCTGTGCTGGCACCGAATTCATCCGCCGTCTCTTGGCTCGTTCGACTTCCGCTACGTGCATGGGACGCGCCTATGGGCTTGCTAGGCCCAGAAGAAACGCTATTACTCCTGCTGTTGGGCGCTCCTAAGCGGAAAATGTGGACAGTCTCGGTCGCCGACGACACACTAAGCAAGGTCGATGTCGAGTTGAAAGACATGCTGTATATCCTGGCCGGGATGGAGCCTCTCCGGAACTGGTACAGCTTCTGCGCATCGGGTATGGAGAAGACGCGGATGATGGTGCCCTTTTCCGATGCCGTCGCCAGCAGGGTACCATCGCTGTTTAGCGCAATGCAAGAGAGAGGAGAGTTGTGCGCCTCAATCACGTTGACTGCCTCCATCTTTGTAGCATCGTATATAAGGACTTCTCCGCTTGTGGGTGCGATGTGATCGGCTTTGGGCGGCGCGTGCGAAGGCGGCTGGAAGGTAGCGGGTGCGGCTTTGGTGGGCAGCGGATACACGAGGTAGTTGTTCTCGGACGATGCTGAGAGGGCGCATATCGCTATGCCAGTCAGTATCTGTTAAGTGCTGCTTCTTGCGACGTACCATTGGGATTAGGCGACGTCTTCTCCGTCTTGAGCATCTGCAGGTTGCTTATATCGTAGATGTAGAGTTCCGACTCGAGCACGACGACGATGCGTTTCCTGTTCATGCGCATGGCGAGAATGGCTGTCCGGAATGTCATCTCACATATGGTCGAGTGCCTCTTGTGCTTGTCAGCGCGTGCCTGGCCAGAGTCGCCTGTCCGACGAACCTTGGTGTTTTGTATGCGCAGCACGCGTGGCGACAGGGTGAGGGCTACCAGCGACGTGGAGAAGAGCATCTCAAGGCTGGAGACATCTCCCTCGCGCGACTCGGACTGCTTGTTGAACGGGTCGGTGGTGTATATGCGATAGCCATTGGGCGTGCCTATGCGAATAAGTCAGTACATGTTCTGCAGCTGGCTGGCATAGCGCATACCGACGCCTAGATGGCTGTGGTCCTGGTTGAAGGTTACGAAATTCATCGCTGCAGTCTGGCGTTGCCTGCGTGGTTTCGGGTGCTGCGAGGGCTGGGGACTATCCGCGTGATAGCTCGGTGCAGCTGTTGGCCGCCGTTCGCGGGAGTCCAAGCCCTACAAGCGGGTGCGCAAAGGTAATCGCAGGCCCGAGCGATTGCGATGCCGATAGCGATGCGTGTATACGCCGGTGCAAGTGATAGAAAAAGATAGCCTGCGCCTGATCGTAGGTTGCAGCTACCGCCGTCTGACGATGGTTCACGCGCCCATGCAGGGATCCCGACGTCAGCTTAGCCCCGCGTAGTGGCTGGTGCTCCAAAAATCATTCCTCTCCCAAGACCATGGCCACACCATCGTGAAGACCAGAACATGGCGAAAGACGCCAAGATGCGCTCCAAGAATGCTGCTGCAAAGCGCAAGGGTAACCAGAAATCCCTGCGCGAGAGAAGAGATGTGGATATCATGAACGTGAGGTCCCCAGCCTCTTCCGCCCATGAATCCTCGTAGCGACTGGACTGATATTAAAGTCAGACGAATGACAGCAGCATTGTGTCCAAGAGAAGCGTCTCGAAACTCTATCTCAGCAATGAGCCTGACTTCTATGAGCCTTTTGTACCAAAGTTCGTTCGACGCAGTATGTCACTTCGATACCACTTGCATGTGAGACATGGACTGATGCCCTTCAGATCCGTTGATCAATCGCGGGTATTGGCTACGAATGCATGCTGTTGAACAAGTAGTCCGCCGGTTTCTGGAAGAAGAGAATGGAAAGCCCAAGATTGTGGTGAACCTAGGATGTGGATAGTGAGTAAGACATCCGTCGTCGCGACTCTAAACACAGTGAGAAGCTACTAAGTCCGGAAAGTGATCCCTTGCCTTTCCAGTTTTGGCACAGGTATCCGGCCCTCACGCAATCATCTACATTCGTCGACGTCGACTATCCACAATTGATGCAACGCAAGAGAGATACCATGCTTAGCAATGGTCTTCTTCGAGACGCCTTGCTCAGGACCAAACTCCGTCAGTCCGAACAGCCTGTATATCTTCGTAGCGACAGCTACATGGCTCTGGGATGCGATCTGAAAGACCTTGCCACACTCGAACGACTTCTGCGGGCCGAGTTCGATGTCCCCTCGTCTTCAATCCTGTTCGTCGCCGAAGTGTCTGTGACCTACATGCCGCTAAAGGACTCTGATGCTCTCATACAGTGGGCTAGTACTATCGAAGACGGTATGCAGATTCGTCAACCCCTGCTCATGAGTTATGCTAACATCTGTAGCTCGCTTCTGCATACTAGGTATTCATTCCTTCGTGTGTATGTACCAGTTCGCTTATACTGACTCCATACTGCATAGAACAGTACCTTCCGCAGGGCCCAGCTCATCCCTTTGCCAAGACAATGCTGTCTCACTTCGACAAGCTACAAGCATCAATCAACGCGGTTAAGTTGCATTCATCACTAAACCAGCAAGCCGCTCGTTTCCGTAATGCAGGATGGCCCACAATAACCATGGCCCGCAATCTGTGGGATCTATGGTCTGATGATGGCTTTACCCCTCCCACCCTTAGACGCGGGCTGAATGCAGTGGAGCCGTTTGACGAGTGGGAAGAGTTTGCGCTCTTTGGGGGTCATTACTTCCTACTCGTCGCTTCAAATGCAGAGCAAGGTAGACCGACCGAGTTAGCCTATGGCGAGGCAACAGCCACCACAGGGTGCAGGAAAGCCGCTGATGCGGGAAGTATTACCCTTCACACCTTGAAATTATCGGGTGGTGGTGCCGTGACGCCACGTCGTTTCACAGCAGCTTTCGCTTTCGACAAGGACTCGGTGGCCTTCCACGGAGGTCAAGGGACGCAAGCCCGTCTCGCCGATATGGACACATTGACGCGGGAGGATCCCAACGGGGATCGTACCATCCAGCCTTGTGGCTTGCTACCTGCTGCCCGCGTATGCCATACTATCACATCAATGCGCAACGGTGAAGCGTTGTTGGTCGGAGGCCGCGGATCGCCCACCCAGGCTTATGCAGATTGCTGGCTCTTCAATCAGGGAGCTTGGGCCAGAGTGGACGACCTGGTGCCAGCCCGGTACCGTCATTCTGCTGTTGCTGTTGTATTAGGAAGTGGGGAATCACGGATCCATGGCGTCTTTGTCTTTGGTGGCAAAGCCAGTGACGGCACAGTACTCGATGCCGAACACTACTGTGCCTTATGGACTGCCAACGGCGGATGGAACAGCATTCCCGTCGACGGACCGCGCCCGTCTGCACGCTTCGCCGCCGCGATGTCCACGATCGATTTTGCTCAAGATTGGGGGTTGCTGACAGGTGGACAAGACGAGAGCGGCGTGGTTGTACAAGACGCGGTGTGGGAGTGGTCCATTTCCGCCACACCAACACCTAGGCTCAACTTTAAGGACCGCGCCAATGACGTTCGCAGCAGCTTGGAGAACTCTGCATACGCGCGTATAGGTGCCAGTCTAGTTCCCTGGAACGATTCTCTGCTGTTGATTGGAGGTGTTTCAAAGAAGCATATCCACTCTCTATCAGACGACTTCCTGCTCTTAACATGCAAGGACACGACCATCGAGGTGGAGCATCCCAGTATGCAGGCCTTGCCGCCAACGACATGGCCTTTGCTAGTGGGTGTAGGGGCCGTTTCAACCTCTCGAGGCGAGATTGTGCTTGCAGGAGGAGGGGCGGTCTGTTTCTCAATGGGAAGTTATTGGAATGAAGACCCGATCGTCATCCTTCCTGACAATGCGCAAGGGGCCAAGTCGTGGCGTCGCGCTGTGCCGAGTCAGATCAGCGGCACAGCAGGCACAGAAGGCACAGCAGGCACAGCACAAGCGAACACGACAGAAACGGGACCCAAAGGTCGGCGACAGAAGGGTGGTGTGGAGAAGAGACCTACTACTACTGCACGTACTACCGAGATCGCAAGGGTGCAGATTCAGTCGTCAGATGACTTTGCGAAGCTGGCGGCTACGTCAAAACCGGCCATCATCGAAGGCCTCGATATCGGCCCGTGCACAGACCTATGGACACTTGACTACCTGAAAGCAAAGCTTGGCCCCAAAAGAGACCTTGTCATCCATGAATGCACATCAGATCGTATGACGTTCAAGGACAAAAACTTCTCATACGTCAAGAAATCAGTGGCAGATTTCCTAGACGGTATCGCAGCAGGGTCTCACGAATATCTTCGTGCTGTATCTTCAAGCCAGCCAAACAAGCTGCCTACCAAACTCGAAGATGACTTCCCGACTATATCCGATGACTTCCGCGTACCAGACGTGTGCAATCTAGTCAAGGAAAACTACCACAGCTCACCCCTTCGCATCTCAGGGCCCGTGACCTTATGGCTCCACTACGATGTTCTATCCAACATCCTGTGTCAAGTACGCGGTTCAAAAACTCTATTTCTCTACCCACCTACCGATGTTTCTCTATTAGGCTTCCCTCCCGGGGGCTCGTCTTCCAATATTGATGTCCTGACGTCGAAAGACCAAAGGCTTCGGCGCACTCATCCGCACATTGCTTTACTCAAGCCTGGTGATGTCTTATTCATACCACCCATGTGGAGCCATACAGCTACGCCGGAAGATGGCGTGAGCGTGGCAGTCAATGTGTTCTGGAAGGGCTTGGAGAGAGGATACGCGGCAGGGAAAGACGTCTATGGTAACAGAGACCTACAGGCGTATGAGAACGGCAGGAGAGATGTAGAGAAGATTGTGAGAGCATTCAAGGATCTACCAGTCGACGTCTCCAAGTTTTATCTGGAGAGGCTGGCTGGTGAGATTCTGGAGCGGTCGGACAAGCTTGGAGAGAAGAGGAAGGAAATCGTGAAGGAGGACCAACAGTAGATGGTAAATATGCTTTGACTCAAAGACGATGATGTCCAAATCTAGTGCTTTTCATTCCACACTTCATTCCATCGTCCCGCATCTAGCTCCACAGGCCCATCAAATCGACCAAACCTCGGTGGACCTGTGCCTGGTTCAGGTAGGCAAATCCACTCTCGTATACACCCAGGTACTTCATGCTTACTATGGCTAACACACAGTAGAGCCTGATGCTCTTGCAATCCTGGTACCACGACCTCACCGTCCCATCTCACCGGTTTCAAGCCACTGTCGGAGGATACAAGCTCCATACCCTGACCGCGACTAAGAAACAGAAGACACTTGTCGCGAACGAGGTCATCCATGCCACTGAACGCCTCGTCCAGGATGACTATATCAGGATTCCGAATCGTGGCGCGAAGGAAGAGGAGTACCCGTTGAGCGGAGAACGATACCTCACCGAACAGAGTGTCAGATGCCCACTCCAGACTCACACTTCCGTCACCACTGAAGCCAGGCCTAAGTTCAGCTTCAAACCATCTCAAGCAAGCTTCGACTCTCTTCCTCGCTTCATCATCTAGTCTTGGCTTTGTAATTGGTGTGTCCGCCCATGCACTCTCCAACACCGTTCTCACTCTGAGTCTCTTCGGAAACAGGGCATGGACTTCCGGGCTCGCATGGCCCATTCGTGTCTGGATTTCAAATATGGTGATACCCCGGACACCGGGTTCGGGCAGACGCGAGCGTTGGAAGAGTTTGACTGGCGCCGAGTACGTCTGTGGGTGGTCCGATGTTACAAGTGAGAGGAGTGTGGTTTTGCCAGAACCGTTGGCACCGCTAAATGTAGGCATATAAAGTTAGTGCATTTCTCACGCCCCTTTCGCTCATGAAGGTACTTACAAGATACCCCATCGTTGGTTGCGATGGACATTCCAGTGAAGCCCAGATTGAGATGAGCCGTTGACGTCTTGTTGCCAATCTCCCAAGACGGAGTTCTGGCCGTAGGCTATCCGTACTCCTTGCATTTCGACGATAGCTTCACCAATCTCGGGAATAGAATCGTCGGTACTTCGGTAGCCATCGCGGCTCAGTATTGGCGCATCAGCTGGTCTTGCGGAGTTTTCTCGTCCACTTTCGGGTCCCGGTTCGCCTGTTTCTACGCCGGTGGAACTCCACTTGTAGTCCTCAGCGCTTTCAGTTTGCCCATTTGTCTGTGAATGACCTAATACCTCCTCCTTCAGCCCCATCTTTTCGACCTTTCCATCCTCTCCCGCGTACACGAGATGGGTAACCCATTCTGGTATTTCATCCTGCGGTCTCAGACTGAGAACAATGCGAGGTGCGTTAGCTTCAGCCAGCCGGTGCAAGACCTTGGAGATATGCCTTGTAACGATGGGATCAAGTCCAACTACCACTCTGTTAACTTAATCCGCTAAAACATGTCATAGTAGTGCATGTGTGGAATCAAGACTCACTGAATGGTGCATCCAAACAAAGCATCTCAGGCCTACTCAACAACGCTTTCGCAATCCTCGCCCGTCTACTCTGCCCATTGCTCAGCATGCTGACTGGTTTGTCAATGAATCTCTCCAGTTCTAAATCACGCATAACCCGCGTCATATCCTCTTCATCCACACTCTTTGCCTTTAGTTCCTCTTCTCCAGGGTTCATCGTTACGATACCGGTCAGATACCTTTGAACAGTGAAGTCCGTATCTTCTCTCAGAGACTCATACCGTGCTGATAGATAGGCGCCACCGAAAGCTTTCCGTTCAACGTCGAAGCCCACATACTCAATGGCTCGCTCGGGGAAGCGGAGGCGTGGTCTTTCCTCGGCGATGGCTGGAGTGAGGAGGTAAGGAAAAGACCGCGCTGTTGGGGGAAAACAAAGTAGTTGGCCGCGAAGTATTTGTAGAAATGCGGTGCGGATGTCGGAAGACGGGCTCAAAATCGCCCAATGCTGATTTGGTGTCGAGAAAGAGGGTAGAGATAGCGTCAGGTCCGGGAACAGTGGGGGATTTGAAGACGCGTTATTGTCCTTTGAAGAAGGGTGCTGGCGGTAGAATGTGCCATTGGCGATTTTGACGATAGGCGGCGAGGAATAGAGTCTACGTGAAGTATGTAGGCTTGCGCATCGCGTGGCTGCAAAGAACAGCGCTTGCGTTCTGCGCATGTCGAGAGATGGGTGTTGTTGCGCTCATGTTGGTGGATATTTGGTCTGGATTGGGTGGTGTTTGCCGCAGCGGAAAAGTGTCCGTGTCCGCGACAAAATAGAATGACGTCGCGCGCGGTCGCTGTCTGCCGAGGTACGTGATAGCTGAGGGTCCGCATCGTTATTGCGACGGATAGAGAGTTGGCTGAGTCGCTGTCGCGCGAGCAACCTGACATGATCTCTAGTCTGCAGCCTTCGAGGCCAAAGGTTCGCCGCTTTCCATCATACCTCTGTAACGCTTGCTGACATGAAGTAGCCTCTCCAGCAGTCCTCAGCACCCTCATACGCGCACCAACAACGACGCGCTGGCCACGCGCCATCCCAGGCCCCTCAGCAGTCTACGACACAACACTCCGGCTCGCCTTTGAATCCTGCAAGACCGCGATCCCAAATCGAAGCCATGCCACCTTTCGGTCCCCCGCAAACACCAGCCACCTTCTTTACACCCGTGTACGACAGCGCGATACGGCATCCAGTCTTCTTCACTCAGAACCTGAAGAAGCCGCCGTTCCCTATACCACAGGTCGCTAGTCAGGGTTACAGTCCGGTTGCGAGTGGATACGTAATGGAGCAAAGGAGGGCAGAAGTGACAGGGAAGACGAAATTATGATCTTGACGATGCGAGCATCTACGGCGTTAAGGAGTATAAGCGGACCGTGTTGGGTTATGTCAAATCAACGAGAAACATGCAAATGCTAGAGAAATAGCACGAGCTCTGTCAAGTCAGCCCTCCGGCTGGCCGGGCATATGAGATCGACTGAGACACTCGCTGTTTTGATTGCTTTACCCATATATTGCTTGTCTCGTTCTAGTAATGGATGCTACGTATTGTAGCGGGTATCTACAGTGGCGAACGCTTCACAAATGTCCCTATCTATGTCCGAATCTTTTCCTGTCGAGGCATGGCATCCATGCAAAATCCTTGAGGTGCCCGTGTACCTCTGATGATACAAAAGCTTCCTCCTCTTCATGTATCCGCACCTCTACAGGCTCTGCCGACCTACGAGATTGCTGGGCAACAGTGCCGTTGTGATGACGCAGCCCAACGTCACACCTCCAGCTAGGTACAATACGCTATTGATATCTCTTCCAGCACCATCCCCTGCGTATAGATGCTGCGCGATGAGCGGGCTGACGATACCAAATAACCTGCCCCAGAAACTCGCAATACCGCAAGCTGTTCCTCGGATGGGTGCTGGGAAGGCCTCTGGTGTCCAGCCATATAGGACGGAATTGAACATGGACTGGAAGAAGTATTCCATGACGTTGAAACCGATGTTCGAAGCCGCAGAGTTAACACTGCTAAACAGGAAGATCGAAATGCCCATCAATGCAGACGAAACTACCATCGTCCATTTGCGACCAACCCGCGATGCGCGGTAAGATAAGGTGCCAAGAACAACGCCGAGGACTCCCGGAAGGTAGATGAAGATGTAAGAGCGGTAGGTGTAGCGGAGAGAAAGGTCCAGAGCGCCATTCTTCACAGCCAGGATTTGTGGGAGGTAAGTGCCTTCGTTGTAGGTCAACATATGTTCATCGAGCGAGATAGGTGTGAAACTCACCAGCAACGGTAAAACCCCAGTAATCGCATATGTACGTCAACCATACCAAAAGCGTTAACCTTGTCATCTGAAAGCTCGAGAATAGAAGCTTGAAGCGATCTCCTTCCAGTTTGAGTTTCTCAGTCCATGTAGATTTGAGCTGCTTGACACCACCTCCAAGCATAGGTCCATGACTTCGGTCTGAATCGAACTCGTGCTCTAGGGATACAAGATCCTCCAGAACGAGGTCGCATTTCGATCCGTTGTATTGAGCTATGGTGTGCAGTACCTCGATTGCTTCGGCATCCTTGCCACGGTATATGAGGAACTTCGGCGATTCCTGGAAGGTGAAAATGACCGATCGTGAGACGAAGACGAGTATGGTGATTCCCCCTAGCGTAAAGAGGAGATACCTCCATCCCATGTTATCCTCTCTTGAACAACACTGTTCCCCTGTAGCAACAGCACTACAGGCAGGCAACGCTCGATCTCCTTCCGAAAAGTTTGGACTGCAAGACCAATTTGGGATGAATCCGTAGGCGAGGACGGAACAGATGACAACACCAATGGGCTGGAAGATCGATAATAGCGGAAGGAGATAACGCTTGCTCTGTGGTGTGGCTTCCAGGGTAATTGTAGTGTCAATGGGAATGTTGCCTCCGACACCAAACCCAGTAAATGCTGTAAGAACCAAGATGGCGTTGTAAGTGCTCGGGGCGCCGATGCATGTTCCAAATACACATGCGATGAAGACTGTCAGATTGAAAGAGACCTTTCTCCCGATCAAGTCTACGAGGACTCCCCACACAAATGCACCGGCTGTGAGTCCGATGGAAAAGGCAGTGGACAACTTTCCAGTCTGATCAGCACCAAAGCCAAGTTCCTGTTGGATTGGCGATAGAACGAGACCGAAGGCTTGTGCCCACATCAAATCGATCATGTAACCGAACCCGCAAAGCGCCCAAATCGACCACTGGTACCGCCCCATTCCCATGAGATCAATCTCGCGGTTGATGAGCATGCATTTCTTCTCGTACAAAGAGATACCCTCATCTCCAATTTCCTCGGCCAAAGATCGTGAACGCTCCGGGTCGTCAGATACATTGTGGCCAACTGGCTTCTCTTTGTCCTCGGCCAGCAACTTTCCATCTCTTGTAATATCGCCTTCGGTGGGAGTCGTGCTATCGTTTGTGGAATAATTGCGAGAAGAAGATGCGATAACCTCGCCAGCGCTCAAAAGCGCGTCGCTCTCGCCTGCCCCAGAGCTTCGACGCGACATTGTTGAATTGTTTTCTGAATACTCGAAAGATGACAGAATGTTGAGAGATCCTTCTTCGGCGCTTACCCCTCTTGTGTGTGTGCCATGGGCTTTACATGGGCGGCACCATACTCCGCCGCGGGGAGAGGCTAGGATACGTTGGGCAGTAGTTAAGCGACGCCTGATAAGCCATTTGATTGCGCCGGTGTAGCTTCGGTGTCAGAAGTGTCAAAGGAGCAGTATCCATGGCATTGCGTGCAGACGTTGAGTGTCGGGTGCTAACGCTATGGGGTGTAGACAAGGCAGATCTTGCTGTTCAACACACCTCGTCGTTAGGAAAGTGCAACGGACACGACTGCCGCTCTGTATCAATCCCGCGGAACATTGAATTGTTCAGAGCAGAAACGTTTCACAATTCAGGCCATTCCACATAACCGGAGCATCTTCCGAAAAAAGGCCGTTTCCGTCCTGGAGCAACAACAATGGTGAAGGCTTACGGTTCAGGCCGCGCAGTCGTGTGATGCGCGAAGGGATAGCCCTGATAACAAATTGATGTAAGTAATCATGAAGATACTCGCGCGTACATGTCCAATTTTTCTCTCCATGACTTTGTCGTTCACGCAGCCCGTTGTTGTAAGCATACCTAGGTCAGCTCCTATGCGGTTACGTGATTGATGCACGTTGATAGCGTGGCGAGTCGGCAGCATGGGATTTCAAAAACGCATGCTCTTGTATGCTCCAAATTGTGTCAACAACGGCATCGTTCGAATAACGTGCAACCATAGATAGCCATGCGCGAAGATGTGAGTCCCCATGACCCAGGTTGGGTGGGGATGTGCAGGCTGACACCTCGGCTTCCCCAGTTGGGCGAAGCAACACATGCAGCAGATCGCGATCCGAAATTCGACTCGAATGGACCCAAGTCTGAACGGTGAACGAAAGTGGGTAAAGTTGGAAGGGAGGTGTTCCAGCTTGGAAGCAGACGTTGAGTCAAGCGCAGGTGTCTTCGTCGAGGCCGCCTCCAGCTGGAAGGGTCTCGCCCCACTTTTCCGTGCAGTCGCCAAGGCCGGCGCGGTGGATCTGTGCGCCGAGATACTGGAACTTTTTTTGCAAGGCACGTCCAAAGACCAGAACTGCATATAACAATTTTCGCCTCATCTGTTTGCAATGGCTCCCCGAAGAAAGCGCCAGCGTCTCTCGCTCGATGGAGCAGAAGCCGTCACAGCAACCGCCGACGCCGAGCAACCGTCCAATTCTTCTGCAGCGGCGCCCAAAGAAGCTGCGCGCCGACAACTCTTCGTTCGCGGACTTGCGCCCACCGTTACGACCGAAGACCTTACCGAATACTTCTCCGAATCGTACCCAATCAAGAACGCGCTCGTTGTTCTGGACAAGGAGACTAGGGAATCGAAAAGCTACGGTTTCGTAACATTCGCCGACGTCGAAGATGCGCAAAGAGCGAAAGAGGAGCTGAACAATACGGAGATCAAGGGCAAGAAGATCAAAGTCGACTTTGCCGAGGCGAGACAACGTGAAGGCGAAGAGAAGAGGCCGAGGGCTGGTGACAGGGCCAAGGCGGAGCGCGAGCAGCAGATCAAGGATGCGCAAACGCCAAAGTTGATCATTCGCAATCTGCCATGGACCATCAAGACGCCGGACGATCTACAGAAGTTGTTCAGAAGCTATGGCAAAGTCAACTTTGTCAATCTGCCCAAGAAGCCCAATGGTGAATTGAGAGGTTTCGGTTTCGTCTCGCTACGTGGGAAGAAGAACGCGGAAAGGGCGATACAAGAGCTGAACGGCAAGGAGGTCGATGAAAGACCCATCGCTGTGGATTGGGCTGTGGACCGGGAAACATGGCAGAGCCTGCAAAAGACTGAACAGGTGGGAGATGATGCCAAACCAGACGGAGAAGACGAAGATGAAGATATGGAAGACGCCGAGGATTCTGCTGCCAGCTCCGATGACGATGACGACGACGAAGCGGACGACAGCGACGACGACGAAGACGATAGCAACACCGACTACGAGGACATATCAGAGGATGACGAAGATGGCGGAGTGGAGCTTGAACAAGAGGACAACCGACCGAAGCGTGAGGAATACACTCTCTTCGTGCGCAATGTGCCTTTCACAGTTGACGACGAACGTCTCAAAGAGCA